TATTCATCGATTTGCTCGAGCGGGCACCAGTAACGTCTCAAAAAAATTGAGACTTGTTGCTACTGTTTTTCACATATTTAATACGTCACAGGGAGCTTGCCAGGCTTTCCCTGATTCTGAAGGAGTCAGCAATACGGCAACGTTGAGAAGGATGTGGAAGGAGAGGCTGATAAAATCTCAAGGCTGAACTAGGCTGCCGAAACAAAGAAAAACAAAAATGATTGTCTATACTTTCATTGCACGTACGCTGGCATCAGATGCATCCACTGAGGACCTGAAGGTACAAGAGCGAAAGATCAAGTACAGCATCATTGGTCTGACCTAGACAAGAAGGCATCAATCACATCACGCTGTTTTCGACACTGGAGAAAAATTGTTCCTCAGAACACGTGATAAAAGAGGCGTCGGAGGCGTTGGTGTCCTTGTCAACACAAACTTGGCCATGAACATTGATTCATTTGAATGCCTAACAACCAGAATCCGATGATTACACTTGAATAGATGTGGCTCACTGCTGGCAGTTTCTTTGTTGTCTCTGCACCAACATCCAATTATGGTGAAGGAGAAATTGAGAAGCTCTACATGGAGCTAGAGAAGTTCTATAAAGAAGACCACACCTTCTACAAGATCATTGTTGGTGATTTTAACGCCAAGATAGGACTGAGAAGATCAGTCGAAGAACTCCACATCAGGAACCATGGCCTAGAATGGAAGGAACAGGGTGAGAGACTGTTTGAGTTCATCATGTTGGCCAAGACCATCCATGGTAACTCACAGTTCCAGAAGGCCAAATCTAAATATTGGACATGGGAGTCTCCCGGTGGACGGTTCCACAACGAAATAGACCACATCATATTCAATCGACAGTTTTGCCTGACCAATGTCACTGTTTTCCCAAAATTCCAAACCGAATCGGACCACCGTCTCCTTTGTGCAAAATTCTACTTCATAGAGCAGGGAGAAAGGGCTGCAAAGTTTAAGAAGAGAACTCCCAGAATGACCACCAACTGGGAGCTCTTTGTTACTATTGCTGCAACATGGGAAGATGCCATTGTTGAGAACACTCACGAAGAATACAATTGACTGGTTCAGCACCTCCATGATTGTGTGAGGAATTCTGCGAGAGTTAGTCACAAAACAACTCCTGTCTTCGAAAACTCTGGAGCTTATTCGCCTACGTGGCTTGGCTCATGCCTCAGGCAACGACAAGCAAACATCCAAGCTCACAAAGCAGTGCAGAGATGCGATAAAAGAAGACCTCAATGAGAGAAGAGCAGCAGTGCTGGTAGATGCGGCAGAAGCCGGGAAAAGCATTCGTAACTCCCGCCTGTCTTTTGCCAACTACAAGACCAAGAGGACTGCCCTCCGACATCCTGATGGATCTATCACATCTTCCAGAAGGACAATGGAGAAGATTATCCATGACTTCTACTCAGATCTCTTTGATAACCACGTCCACCTGCCCACATACCAAATTCCGCAGGGTGGATTTATTGTTCCCAACGTTCTTCCTTCCAAAATATGACACGCCATTTCGGTAAAGAAATGAACAGCACCTGGCCCAGACAAGGTCAGACCCAAACACCTGAAGAACCTGCCATTAGTACTCATCAATACAATGGCTCGGCTCTTCACAGGCTACCTGTCTTAATGCAAGGTTTCGTCCCTATGGAAAACCAGCAGACTGTACTACTGTACAAGAAGGGAGACATCCACAACATTGGCAACTATTGCCCAGTCTGCCTATTGTCTATCATCTACAAGCTGTTCACTTGTGTCATCCTGAATAGGATTGGCAGAACACTAGATGAAGGACAACCATGCGAGCAAGCCGGGTTCTGCAAAGGATTCAGCACCATCGACCACATCCACATGATAACCAAGCTCACTGAGGTTTCTCGGGAGTTCAAGATGCGACTCTGTCTAACTTTCAGTGATTTAAAGAAGCCTTTGATTCTGTTGAGACGGAAGCGGTCATTGAAGCCCTAGCCAGTCAGGGCATTCAAACTCAATACATCAGGATCCTCCGTGAGCTGTATTACAGATTCACTATCAGGATCTCACCATTCTACAGGGAGGTGATCATTGACGTCAAGAGAGGCGTTCAGCATGATGATACCATTTCACTGAAACTCTTCAGTGCCACCCACGAGAACATCATGTGGCGACTGCAATGGGAAGGAATGTGAGTGAAGATAGACGGTCGGCAGCTACACCACCTCTGCTTTGCTTATGGCATCCTTCTAAAAACACCAAGCATTATACAAGCAGCACAAATGCTGACCGACTTCTACTGTGAGTGTGGAAAGGTCCGACTACAGCTGAATCTCACGAAGACAATGTTTATGAGAAAGTCTCGTTCCTGATGTTCCATTCACTCTCAACGGAACGACCATCTCTGAATGCAACAGTTATGTGTACCTAGTTTGAGAAGTCAACATAACGAATGACCTGGCACCTGAGTTTTGCAGGAGGAAGAGCGCGACTTGGAACACCTTCAAGATCGTTGAAGAAATAGCTAAGAGAAAGAAGAACCTCTGGCTCCGGCCACATCTCTTTGATTCCACTGTTCTTCCTGCATTAACATACTCCTCAGAGACATGGTCGCTACGAAAACAGGATGCGAATGCTACTCGGGTCTCCCAAAGAGGAACTGAAAGAGCTATGCTTGGAGTTTTATGCTTCACTCAAATGAGAGAAAGAATCTGGTATTCCGACCTTCGTAGAGAGTCAAGAATCAGGGACGCTGTCTCATTTGCTAAGGTGTCGAAAATCAGATGGGCTGGACACATAATGAGATTTGGAGACAACCACTGGCCTAGAGCCATTACCAACTGGATTCCGTGGGACGTCAAAAGACCGTGTGGATGCCCACCTACAAGATGGTCTGAGTTCTTCGTCAAGAACCTGAATGATGTTTCGAGGCTATTCATTTTCCTAGAACGAACAGATGCCATTGGGCTACACTAGCATGCAACAGGGACGAATGGAGACATTACTGGCACCCGCTTGAGCAAATCGATGAGTAACAGGAAGTCAAGTGATCAAGTGTTCAAGTTGTTACTGTTTTTGGCATATTCAATATGTCACGGGGAGCTTGCCAGGTTTGCCGTGTAGGCAAGATATTCTCAGTAGCTTGCTGGGCTCTCCAAGAGGGGTGGAGGAATTCAACCAGTTCACCATGTCAGCTGCCTGTCAAGGCAAACGCTTTACCTGCTGTTCTATCTCTCCATTCCCCAGAATAATGAAGTAAATAAAAATATTTAAGCCTTTATTTAAAGAAGCTTACATTGATTAGTGCGAGTATCACTATTTGGTGATCATAGCAATCTTCAGCGACCAGCCTGCTTAGCAGTATCCCAGACCCGAGATTCTCTGTGGAATGTTTCAGTGCATCCCTGTTTATGTAGTCTCTTCCCTGACACACGTGCCCAGTGGGAGCTCCAGAAGGAACGGGCTCTCCATGGGAAGCAAGAGGAACACTGTGTTCATGCCAGCAATGCCTTCTAGAGGCTCCTCTTCACGCTACAGGATAGTCGGCCCCTCATCCGGCAGTCTGCTTTCAGGTTTGATTAATTTTTGTAGGCAGATACGGTCCACACTAACTGTTAACTGCCTATTGATAAAATTTCCTGGTATTTTTAGTAGGGGAAAGTCAGCAAAGTTGGCAATAGCTACATTTTTTTTCCTCAGCAGAAAACTTTAGATAGATGTGTGAAAGTTTATCATTTCATTAGGGTCAGGTTGTGCTTCTGAAAAGTGGAGTACTGAACAGCCTCTTGGGAGCTAAATGCCTATTTTGGGCAAAATTCTTCTCGGTATTTATAATCGTGCTGTATTATCTTACTGCTCTGCTACAGGCTTCTAGTTCTAATTTATACTTGTGATTTTCTTCTATTTAGTTTAACTTAGGTAATAGGTGGCGTATTTTAGATGTGTCACCACAGGATTGGAAGTTAATCCCAATATATGAGAACAGTACTGCTAACTTGTTAAAATACTGTTCAGATTTGTAAAATCAAAACATTTCCTCAATGAGAGCTAATCTTTTGGAACTCTATCAAAATTTGTGTAGTTTTCAAAGCACTTTTATCATTTCAGTGTTAACTTTTTAAGTGACATGTCCATATTAAATTTCATTAATTGAAATAACTGGTTGAATTTTAGATAAAAGAAGGCTACTGAAATTGCTTTATTTAAAATTTGCTTCTGGACAAAGCATCTAAGGGTATCCTAAGGTAATGCAGTGCACTCGGATGGGTGAAAACAGGACTTGGTCATCATCCATTTATATGGAGAGGATAATGCTGAGTGAATGAGTCAGGGGAGAGGGACAGATAATAACTGCATTCCTTTGTGGAACACACACACATATAAAAAGATATATATATATACACACACATATATACACACACACACACACATATATATATATATATATATTTATTTATGAAGAGTACTATCCATGGCCAGGGAAAACAGAGGCTGGGAGGACTGGTCAGTGTTTGGAATCAACCACAATTGTTTGTGGGGCAGGGCGTAGGTAAGATAAAGATGAGACCAGTATTACAATAGTAGCTGGGAATGATCTTGCTGGGCAAGATCTAAGTGTTAAAAGTAGGTAAGGGATATTCTTGGTAACCTTTCAGTATCAATATTGCAAACCACAATGCCCCAAAATGGGGGGAGAGGGAGAGAAAGGAGGGGAGAGAGGGGACGAGGTAGGGAGAAAGAGGGAGAGGGAGGGAGAAGAAGAGGGGCAGGGGTAAGGGAGGAAAAGCACCTGCCTCACTGCCATAGATGCAGGCAGGGGGGTGGTGGGAGGGAAACTGGGGACTCTGGTTCTGGAAAATATACACTGGTGGAGGGATGGGTGTTGGAACTCTACATCTAAAACCTAATCATGAATAGATTTGTAAGGCTCTATCACACAGTGATTCAATAAATAAAATAAAGACTTGGGAATCAGACTTTTGTGGTATGTTTGTGTTTTGATCCAGGTTGGTTGAGGACTTTCAATGAGTACTTTAATGAGAAGACTCAGTATATTTTTAATAACATGGTGACCAAGCTGCAAGAAGACTCACGGAGGAAATTTATTTGGGCTGAGATCTCTTACCTTGCGAAGTGGTGGAGTACTGTAGATGCCAGCAAGAAGGATGCTTTAAAAAGGTTGGTCTTAACACTCTTTTGAAGTTTGTTAATGTTAAACATTAATGATATAGTTCACATTGTGAAGAGGCTGGAGAGTAGGTAGAGTATTTGTCTTGTACTTGGCCAACCCTGGTTCAATCCCTGGAGCTCCAAATAGTCGCCTGAGTCCCCCCTCAGCCCCCCGAGTGCTTCCTGAGCATAGAGCCAGGAGTAGGTTCTGAGCACTGCCAGTTGTGGTCCCCCAATAAAACAACAACAAAAATGTTCAATTTTTAGAAACTTTCGAGGGACTGGGGAATTGTCACAAGTGCTGCTTTCCCTGTGTTACTCAATCCTTTGGGCACCGCCCCAGGAATTAATCCAAACCTGAACCAGCAGTAGCTATTGATTCTCTTAAGCATTTTCTCAGAAGCAAATGAATTTTTTTTTTTGTGACGACTTGTTCATGTACTTGTTTATACCTTCATATATGTTTGTGTGCATATACATACATACACACCCCTCTACCAACCCTTAGTTTTCCTTGTTTTTGTTTTTTCTTAATTTTTAGCATGTGACATTGCAATTTTATATTGTGAAGTCCATTGTTTTCTTTTTCGTAAATTTGCTGTCAATGTTCATAACTGGTCTTCTCCAGTTAGAATTCAGGTAGGTAGTCTTTTCTCTCCTAGTTTTATATTTTCTGTTCACTTTTTATTCTTAAATTGATTTCATAGTGTGTTTTGAACAAAGATCCCATTTCCCGCCTCTGTCTGCCCCCGCCTTGGGAGTTTAGGGCTTAGTTGAGCCTGTGTTTCTGCAATGTCCTACATATTCGTACTGTCATATTCATGTCTGTGCCAAGTTCTTGACAGCTGCTAACTGGTAATTCTGCAGCAGTGCTGGGAAGTCGGTCCAGAGGCCCTTATTGTACAGCTGCCTACACAGGCCATCCCAGCTTGTCTGCCTGGAGACCTGTGCTCAGACATTGTTCAGCCCGTGTCTACATGGGCTGAGTCCCTCAGACTTGAAGAGACCTTCCATTTCTACTGTTGTGTCATGCCCTCTTGATTGTTTTTCAGTATGCATTGATTCTGAGGTTTTGTGCTCTCTTTTATGGAACTCATTGGACTGTAATTGTTGAATCTCCATGATGCATTTTTTTTAATTTAAAATTTCCCTTCTCTAATGATTATAATTTATTTTAATCACTACTAAATTTTTCCGGGCCGGAGCGATAGCATAGTGGGAAGGGCGTTTGCTTTGCATGCAGCCTACTCGGGTTCTATTTCTTCGCTGCTCTCGGAGAGCCTGGCAAGCTACCAAGAGTATTCCACCCGTAAGGCAAAGCCTGGCAAGCTATCCATAGCATATTCAATATGCCAAAAACCAGTAACAACAAGTCTCACAATGGAGATGTTACTGGTACCTGCTCGAGCAAATCGATGAGCAATGGGAGAACAGTGCTACAGTGCTACTAAATTTTTCTGAAGAGTAATACGATTAATCTAAGTTCTTCATCATGTTTTTTTGTTTGTTTGTTTGTTTTTGGGCCATACTCGCTGTTTTCAGGGCTTATTCCTACTCTGTGCCCAGGGATCGTTCCTTGCAGACTCAGGGTGGGGGCCATGTGGGATGCCAGGAATCAGACCCAGTTCAGTTGCATGCATGAGCGGAGAAGATGTGCTGTAGCCAGGGGGACTCCCTGAGGAGACCTGGGCTATAATCCCATCACAATAGTCTTCCAATTGCACAGTCTGGAATTCCAGAATGCCATGACTCCTGCCTTTGTTGAGGTCACCCTTAGAAGTACTCCAGGGACCTTTATGCTACCAGGGATTGAGTTGGTGTTCGCCACATGAGGACCAGCACCTTCCCCACTGCACTTTTTCTCTGGCAGAATCCTTAGTTTTGAGCAAGGTACTTACCAGTTAGCAACTTTTACAAAAATGGAGAGCCTCATAGAACTCTATTTTGTCTTATAGGTCGAAGTTTTTAGATTTGAAATATTTGTTTGGGTCTCTGAGTAAAAATGTGTTTTTAGAATCTTTTTAGAAATTTTATATTTTTCATGGTTTAAGGACTTTTCACATTGTTACTTTCATTTTCCGATCTTGACTTTGGGAGTCTGATTTTTATTCATGTTGAATAGATTGGCAATTCCTATTGGGTGGATTTTTCCCTCCTGCCTTGTCTTCAGAGACTGTAGTTTTAACTGGTTTATACTCTTAACCTTTCTGCTTTTCTCTTCATATTTATTCCTTGTGCCAAATGGACAAGCTCATTTATTTTAGTATGGCGCACATCTCTGTAACTCCCCTTATTAGCACTTATCTATACCAGCTTTTAAATGTTTATATGCTGTATTTTTATTACTTTATTTTTCTAAATACCGTATAATTCTACTGCTTTTTCTAAAACTTCTGTTAGGAAAGTAATTTTTTAACTTCCAAGTGCCATTTTTTTTCTCAGTTACACCTTAGATTTTGAAATTGGTTTTAATATCTTAAGATTTTATATTGAACTTAAAAATTTTATCTTCATTATTTTATTTATTTTTTTTTAGATTTTTTTAGATTTAGATTTTCTTTGTGACATCATAATGTGATCAATGTCAGTGAACTTATACTAGTTCTTGAGAAGAAGGTCATTACAGCTCACAGCAGCATTTCCTAGCCAGGCCCAGATGCCCTGGGAACGCTGCTTGTATATTCCACAGGGTCCCAGATGGAAATCTCATAAATGCACTGGGCCACAAGACTAGGGGATCACCTGGAAGGATGAAGCATTGGGGACGCAGGAAGGAAACATGAGGCCATGTCGAAGGGGTCACTGGAGCAAGGTTGAGGAACACTGGCTGTGGTGATTCGTCACCTCAGTGTTTCACAGTGACCCCTTTCACCTGTGTGTAGTCAAACCTGCTGTATTGCAGCATATACTTTTAAGCCTCATCATGTCACACAAAATCAAAAACAGTTCAGGCGAAATACAAGTTTGGGTTCAGGGGCTAAACATTTGTGTGTTACGGGGCTAAACATTTGCTACAGATGGAAAGAATAAAGAGAATAGTACTGTTGTACACATGTGGAAAGATTATGGGATGCATCGATGTTTCATTAATTATGTTCGTTTGCTTGACGAGAAATTTTAAATTTTCTAAAATTTTCTTGAGTTGATGGGCTTTGGGGATTGAGTTGTGCTGAGCAGTAGGAAGTGGGTTCTCTTCAGTTTGACAGATGTGACTGTTCAGCAGACGTGACTGTGAGGTATAGTTCCTCGGGCACAGTACCTGCGCACGGTGTGTGAAGTGTGTTGTGTGTCTCTGAATGCCCACACAGGGGTGGGTGTCTTGCGTATTCCCATGTGGTTGGATTTAGCAGAGTGAGATTTTACTTTCAGCTGTTGTCGTAAGTTTCAACTAATAACAGCAAACTTGGCTCCCGTATATAAGCAAGCATTTGGAAGTAATTATTATTATTATTATTTTTATGGCAGAACTTTCTTTGCCTAAGTTTTGTCACTGTTTTTCAGTAGCATCTTTGTATTTTAGGTGTCTGTTGCTTAATTCAGTAAAAGTTCCACGCCTGATCTTTGTTTGCATCCTCGTTTCTTCCTCAAGTACTTCCTGGACCTGTGCTCTGGTTTGGGCCTGCAAGGTTCTGCGCTAGGTATTTCTTTTTCTTGATTGTAAATTTTATATTCATTATTGAAAGAATAACTAATATCATGTGGTAGTTCAGATGGCCTCTGAACCAGGCTGCCTGGGATGAATCCCGGCAGTCCTTATCTACTGTGTGGCTTTGGGCATGTTACAGAACCTCTCTGTGCCTCATTTTCTACTTTTAGCAAGTATGGATTTTTGAGTTTTTTTGAAATTACACGAGTGCACAAATACGGTTCTTAACCCAATGCTGGGCTCATTTTGTGCCCTTAATAAACAACGGCAACTTTTGTTATTTCATTTTAAATTTGTTTCTAATTTTTTTTTTTTTAATTAAGGTTCACCTCCACAGGTCCTGGGTCCAGAGGGGCCTGGGGCTTCTTGGGCTATTTTGATGATGCACAGGGGCTGCACATACCTGGAGGTGCTCAGGGCTTACTCCTGCCTCTATGCTCAGGGTATATGTATGTGGTCCTGGGGATGAAACCTGGATTGGCTGCACGCTAGGCAAACACTCTCCCCACTGTAATCTCACTGGGTGCCTGCTGGTCTCCTTGGAGGCGTGGCTGCCTCTTTGCCTCTCCTTGCTTTGTGCTCTGAGAGGGGAAACTTGGGCACCTGACTGAAGGTGCTGAAGCCCTGGTCAGCACCCAGAGATCCCGGTTGACTGCGGGTTAGTGTGGCAGCGCTTTCTCCAGCAGCCAGGGCTGGGCTTCCGAGTGATTGAGCCTGTGGGTCGGGTCCAGGGTTAGCCCCAGCCTCCCGGGCAAGGAATGCTAGCATCTCTCAGATCTGCTCTGTTGGCCCTCGAATCTGGGCTGAGCTTGCTGTGGGCTGCAAGGATTCTCCTTTCTGGCATCCCTGAGCGCGGCTGTCCCCAGAGCACAGCTGTCCCCTGCACGAAGCTGTCCCCTGTGCAAGATTGTCCATTGCGAGGAGTGTGAGGCCCCTCCCCGCCGTTGTGTTGCAGTGGAGTCCTCTCCCAGTCTCCTGGTCTTTTTACTTGGTTGGGTCTTAGAAAGTTGCTGACATCTGATGTACAGAAATGCCAATTTCGGACACTCAACCATCGGATGAATTAAGCTTGGAGGATATTGGGTGGGGGGTGATAGGACTGCAAATTAGAATTTAGTGCTCCAACACTGTCAAATTCTCAAACGCTCACTAAATTCCTTGTGAGAACTCTTTGGCAGTGGGAAGTATTCTGAAACAGTAGTGTGGTCCTTACTGATATCGTTTTGCTTGAGAAAAAAAGTTGTTTTATGGCCACATTAAGGGAATTGGATTTTGATTCTAATAAAGCACTACTAAAGTCCCCTCTTTTGCTGTAACCATTCCCATTTATTCATTTACTCCCCTTTTTTCTGCACTACAGTAA